GTCATGATCTTGCAGTTTGTGAGTTCAAGCCCTGTGTCGGGCTCGCAGATGTCAGCACAGAGCCCGTTTCAGATCCTCTGTGTCTCTCTTTCTCTCTGCCCCTCCCCATCTTGTGCTCACTTGCTCTCTCGCTCTCAAAAATAAATATTAAAAAATAAAATCAAATAAAAAGAACTGGAAACATTTTTGCCTTTACAATGTAAACTTGAAAGGCCTTTCTAAACAACAGCTAGATAATGATGAACGTGAAGAGATAACAATCCTTGCCCTTAAAGAGCTCCCAGTCCAGCAGAAAGTTGGACAAGTAAACAGTGTGGTGCAGGAATTAATAACTGACCACTGGTGAACACAACTATGATGGTGGCACAGAGAAGAGACATCCAACCTGGCTTGGGAAGGTCTTGGATGACTTACTAAGGGAACTGATGGGAAGGAAGTCAAGTTGGATTGGCCCAGAAGCCTTCCCAGGTACCCACCTAGGGCCTGATGGAGATGTCATTGCTTGGTTCCCCAGAAGCCTGTCACAACTGATAGTGCACTGACCTCATTTGGTGTACTTGTTCATCTTCCTCCACAAACTGGTAAATTCCTTTAAAGGCAGAAACTGTGCTGTTTGTCGTTGCATCTACAGTGGCTGACACATAAGAATGATCTGGTAAATAAATATGCAGAGGTTTCTCAGATGATGAAAATATCACCCCTCTAAGACAGGCTAAGGTTTACAGACAGTATGATAGGTCTATGCCATGGTATATTTAAAAAAATCTGTACTAGTTAGTGTTTGAAATGTCAATACCAAATATTTGATACAGGAACAGGGTCGAGAACCATGAGGATGCAAAAGCAGACATGATACAATCACTGTCCTCCATAAACTCACAGCTTAAACTGGAGGTCTCATAATCCCCAGAATAGTCTGTCTTTCATCTGTTTATAGTTTGGAAGTCCACAAATACCTCTTTTTGAATAAGTAGGGCATTTCTTAAAAAAATAAAGAAGGAAAAAACCTTGATCAAGGATATAAGAAGGCCAAGCGAAATTTCTTGAGAGATTTATATATTTCCCTGCCCCCCCCACCACCACCCCGCCCTTCCATTTTAAGACTAGAAGGAAATGGAGGGAGTTGAGAATTTCCTCCTGTATTTTATCTTAGTTTTTCCTCACTAGCCATCTTTAGCATCTTCTTGATCAATGAACAGATGTTTACAATAATAAAGTTATTTCCTATATACCGTAATATCACTTAATATTTGCCACGATCCAGAAAAAAAGCAATTATGTATATCTTCTCTGAAATTACTACAAAGTATCTTCAAGATTCTATATTTCATGCCAGTTATCCAAAGATATTTAATTCAAAACCATTACCTAATTTCTCTTATAGCATGTTGTATTTTAAAAACATCTCATTTTCAAAATAAGATGGCTTAAGATCATCTTACGGATCCACACACAGTGACCCTTTTGTGATGTTTGTAGGGAAAAACGAGCCAAAAACATATAGGTACAGTAGTGTTTATTATAAACAATCAGGTAACAGTATAAGTGTGCATTTGAAGGATAACTGGAGCCTAGATATTATGATCAAAAGCATTACTTAAATAGAAATAGTTCCTTTCTTTGTTGGTTTGTGTTACATTAATTTGAACTTAATATAGATTATGCCAGGATCCCCTAGTCTTGTCATACAGTTCAACTGCTAAATCATAACGGGGAAGACAAATTTGGAATGCATATTATTTTTTTCTTTAGTTGTTAAATATATATGCCAAGTATCAGGGACACATTCAAAGTTAAGCAGGTGCTTAAAGTCTAGCAGGTGATATTTATAAGAAACTTTTGTTGTTGCTCCTAATCCCTTAGAAGACAATGAAAAGGGGATTCTGAGTGCCAGTGCTAGGTTGTTGTTCAACTTTTCCTGATTTACACAGAGTGTTAAAAAAAAAAAAAAAGGTAAATATGTTGAAAAGTGGTTATCTTTATACTTCCAAAGCACTGGCATATAGTAAAATATCATCTAACTAAAACAAACTTCTCACATCTCAATTTTTTAACAGGAAAAAAAAAAAAACCCAGAAACAATGGGCTTGAACAACACAACAAATGTTCTGGGTCTTAAGAGCAGGCCACATCGTTGTTGTTCTCTATTGCACGACCCTTGTCCATGGCAACCTTAAATATGTTTGGCATTGCTACGTCTTAAAATGGCTTAGCATGTCCACTTTACAAGTTATCCTCTGAAAGAATGCTCTTAAGTTTTTTCTGGATTGTCCATCTCAAGGGACAAATGCTAAATAGCAAACGTGGAAGTCTGAAAGCAAACGATGCATTACAACTTTGGCTAACTGTTGCCAACAGAAACATTAGAAGGCCAATGAGAATGTGACTGTCAGAGCGACTGAAGGGTTAACTCTTCTGCATTTCACTCGCATCCTAATACGGGCTTTTGGTGAGACATGACTGGTGATGATGCAAATGTACCACTTTAATCAAGTGTTTTCTTCAAAGGAATAACACAGGCTCTGTGGAGTATTTCATCCTGGTTTCCCAAAGCTGCATGAAAATCCAGGTTTGTTTATTTTTTTTTAAATGTAACTTATAAGCAACTGGTTATGATTAATTCTGCAAAGGTATAAGGTTACCAGAGGATGAGTTTGAGCACTTGTGAAGAGATCAAGAAAGTTATGTTAAATGTCTGGAGCAAAATCCATGTGTACCAAAATCTCATATGTACCAAAGTTATGTTAAATGTCTGGAGCAAAATCCATGTGTACCAAAATCTCACAGTACTCATATGAGGAAGACTCACCATATTAATGCCTCTTCTGAGGAAAGAAATGGGGGAAAACTGGAAAATAGGGAAGTAAGAGAAAACAAACAACTTCGAAGCACTGAAGAAAAGTAGCATACATCCCAGGAAGACTTCACCCCTTACCTGATTGCCCAGAAGAGAAGGAAAGTAAGTTTCAAAATAGAGATAATTAAGAAATCATCAGTCGTATTTTTTTTAAGCAAAAAGGAAAAAAAAACGATCGCAGGTTTTGTTTTGTTTTAAAAGTGAAAATACATGAAGATGTCTACACAGGTTTCCTAATAGACTCTCAGCTCCAGAGTCTGGGGCTGTCTCTGGTTTACACTGGATTCCACAGTACCTAACACTGTACCCAGCACATACAGGTGCACAATACATAGGTGATGAACCAATTAACTACAGGGTTTTCTAAACACTAAATGGACCACCTAATTTTAACGTAGAATGTACTATTTTCTGTTGCATATATGAAAGTTTCTATTAGATAACACTAGTGCTTACAAGAGGTGACAGTAGGAACTCACTCGTATCTTTTTCACAGGATCATTTCTACCTTGAATACAATTTAATGATAAGCAACTACTGTGTGCTAATGCTAAAAAGACTTGAGATAGAATGTATAAATGAAGAAGCCTCTTGGATTACTGAAGTACCGTCTGTTACAAGCATAATTACCTTCTTAAATTATACATTTTTAAGAGGGTGTGAAATATTTTTCGAAGCAGTGCAGTGTTTAGTGGGTGGGAATTGTGTGTATATATATATATATATATATATATATATATATATATATATATATATATATATATATGAAAGTACCTAGAAATGTGGGGAATTTTCCTCTCTTTACCATCCAAGAGTAACTAAGAATGGGCTTTTAATACCATATATATATTTTAAGTGTCCCACTCTTCGGTACCGCTGTTCCCCAGAGATTATAAGGATTATGAAGTTATCATTCTATTTGTGAAGTTATTTCCAGGTATGAGGTTTCAGCTTTATAAGAGGCTACCAGATGTGACCAGCAGATTGAGACACTAAGTTAAATAACTCATAAACTTCATCCCAGCAATGTGTCCAGATTTTCTCAAAGGCTTCACCACTGTTTTAGTCATCTGTAAATAGTATCTGCCAATGTGTAGGGAAAATGCGGCAAAAGGACTGCCCTCGCCATGAGCCTTTTAATGGGAATATGAGAAGGTGTAAGTAAACAGAGGATGATTTTGTCCGACCCTCTTATTTTACTGCTTCTTCTCCACTCAGGATTTGCACACATGGTCCTCTAGCTCACTGTGTGGACTCCAAAGGCGGCCAGGCTGCCTGACTTGAGAAACCAGGAAAATTCAGGGACCCGATTCCCTACATGGAGAGCAAGTGCCTCCCTGGCTGATTCTTGGACTAAGTTCTGGTCTTGTTTTGCAGTTTGGGAATAATGCTCAATTCTTGCTATTTTCATATTAACCTTTCCATGCATTAGACTCATTCTGGATTTTTTTCAGTGGTAGATTATGAGGCAACATGGCTCCCAGCTTCACAGTTTCTTTTCCAATCACAGTTTAAATTTGTTTCAAATGTACCATTAATATCAGCACAATCATCCAGCTATAGGTATTTCAACTTGAGAGATAAAATAATTTATGTGATTTATCTTACATAACTGATTTACAGCTTGGTCTGTTTTTTTTTTTTTCCTTGCCGATAACACTAAAAGTGAGATTGTTTAAATTATACGGGTTTGACTGCTTTCTTTTGTCTGAAAGTGTTATTTCTTTAGTGCTGCTAGTACCCTGACTCTTAATATATAAACAGTTTTGATATTTTCCTGGTAGGCCACCCAACATGCCTTATAATGACACGGCTGACTAAAGCTGCCTTTTATTCTGCCAGCACTTTTCAAATACTATTGACACAATTGCCTTCATTTGTTACCGCCCAGCCCACAAAAGAAGCTGCTTCCTATTATTATAGCACAGGCACGAAAAACCTGCTTTTCTAATCACGTTGTACTGGCATCAGGTTTAACTAGAAAGCACAAAACAATTGGTGATAAAAAATATGAATAGTATATATTATATGTATTTACATATGTACTTGGAAACTTGAGTTAGTTGCAAATCTGAAATGATGTAAGCCACTGCCTGCAATAGCATCTATGCTCTAGAAATGTCGACGAAGTCATGACTGACTGTTAAGACACCGAAGAGATGGGGTTATGTGGAGAGCCCATCTGAGTCAGAACTTTGTCCAACCACTGCAGTGGTCCATGAAGATGAATCTCAATCCAGCAGGGGGTGCTCGTGACATCTTGGCGATGATACTCAGCTCCCCAGCCCTGTAAAGCAAGAAAAGAGCCAAGAGTGAGGATGTGGAGAAATGGGAACCCTCATGTACTGTTGGTGGGAATGCAAACTGGTGCAGCCGCTCTGGAAAACAGTGTGGAGGTTCCTCAAAAAATTAAAAATAGACCTACCCTATGACCCAGCAATAGCACTGCTAGGAATTTATCCAAGGGACACAGGAGTACTGATGCATAGGGGCACTTGTACCCCCAATGTTTTAGCAGCACTTTCAACAATAGCCAAATTATGGAAAGAGCCCAAATATCCATCGACTGAAGAATGGGTAAAGAAGATGTGGTTTATATATACAATGGAATACTATTTGACAATGAGAAAGAATGAAATCCTGCCATTTGCAGCAATGTGGATGGAACTGGAGGGTATTATGCTAAGTGAAATAAGTCAGTCAGAGAAAGACATATGTTTTCATATCATATGTTTTCACTCATATATGAAACTTGAGAAACTTAACAGAAGACCATGGGGGAAGGGAAGGGGAAAAAATAGTTACAGAGAGTGAGGGACACAAACCATAAGAGACAGTTAAATACAGAGAACAAACTGAGGGTTCATGTGGGGTGCTTACTGTGGAGAGGGGAAAATGGGTGATGGGCACTGAGGAGGGCACCTGCTGGGATGAGCACTGGATGCTGCATGGAAGCGATGAATCACAGGAATCTATTCCCCAAGCCAAGAGCACATTTTATACACTGTATGTTAGCCAACTGGACAATAAATTATATTAAAAAAAAAAAGAGCCAAGAGTAACGGTGCCAGACTTTATGGTCAGCCTGCAGAGGTGTGAGACAGACAGGCCTCAGTGCACGCAGAGCCCACACACCAGAGCCGCTCCTGACACCTGAGAGAATGTGCACTCGACCTTCCTGTAAGTACAGAACAACTTCTGCATCAACCAGACACCCTAAGACGAGTCCAAATCAAAGATCGCCTCTAGGCTCACAACTAAATACACAGACCTAGAGATGGTCTGGTCTCTAGTCACGTCAGAAACACCGGCAAATCATTTTCTCTTCCACAAGGGAAGGAGCCTGACCTTATGTTCCACCCCTTACTGCTGAACACAGTGTTTTGCACAAAGCAGATGCTCACTGCAGACCACTGACTGGATCTGAAAACTGTGAAGAGAGAACTGAGGGTGTTCTTGATGATTCAAGGGTTGGTTAAAAAGCCTGTTTCTCCTCTCTCTCTTTTTTGGCTCACTTTTTGGCAATTTCCCACTTATTACCATTCATAGGAAAGATAGTAAAAATAAAGAAAAAATAAATTTGTGTATTTTTTCTCTAGATGTTATATACTAGTAAAAAGTTATTTTTTAAAAATGAAGAGAGATCACAAATTACTCTTATTGGGAACAGTGATTATCTGTAGGTTAAAAAAACTTGGATTTCAACACAACCATGCTGCCTGATCACACTTTACATTCGAGACCACAAGCCTCAAGTGCCCCTGTGATGCCACCTGGCAATCAAATGACACTCCCCCAGTCCCTGTGCTCTCCCACTACCTCCCACACCCCAAATGACTGCTCACTCTTGTCCTTTTTCCTACAACCTCTAATACCTACTCCCCCGTCTACTTGAGAATGACTCTCTTCTTTCTTATTGTAACCAGAATGAAGCAATCAGAAGGGTTTCCACAGCACTTGCACGAACATACTCAGCCTTTCTACCTCTCACCACAGATTATCTGTGTTTCCAAATAAGCCAGTCCATCCAGTTGTGCAGAAGACTCAAATGCCTTCCCAAAGACATCATTCCAGGAAATCTCCCCATTCTCTCGTATTATATTTTCTTTTCTGCTGGATCATTCCTATCAACATAGGAATATGATGAAATATCGCCCGTCTTCAACATACTTCTCTTGGCCCTAACCACTCCCACCACTTACTGCCCTATACCTTTGACCCCCTTTCTAGCTGTCCAAACTGGCTGTATCAATTCCTCTCCTTCCATTCTGATCAGCATTTCAACCCCAGCCTTCAACAAAACTGTTCCTGTTAAGATTAAAAAAAAAGATGGGGCACCTGGTTGGCTCAGTCAGTTAAGCGTCTGACTCTTGATTGTGGCTCAGGTCATGATCTCACAGTCGTGGGATCAAGCCCTGCATCAGGCTCTGTGCTGACAGCTTGGAGCCTCTCTGCCCCTCCCCAGCTCACTCTTTTTCTCTCTCTCAAAATAAATTAATAAACATGAAAAAAAAAAGATTAAAAAAACCCTTTACATGCTAAAATTAATGACCAGCTCTCAGTCTTCATGTCACTTGGGCAGCATGTGATTTGGTTTGTCCTCTCTCCTCCTCAATATACTTTCTTCTTTTGGTTTAAAGAGCACCTTACTTTCTTGGTTTTACTTCTATATTGGTTAATCTTTCTCAGTTTTCTTTGCTGGTTCTTCCTCTTTGAAGGTGGAAGTGTCCCAGGGCCCTGTCTTAGGACCCCTGATCTTCTCGGCTAAACTCAAACAACTGGCAATTCCACTCGGGCTCATGGACAGATACCATGCATATGCTGACAATTCCTACATTGACACTGCAGCCCAGCCCTCTCTCCCTAAATCCTGACTCATACCTCTAACTGTCTGTTCAGCACTTCCACCGGGATGTGTGTCAGTGCAAAGTTTCTCTCACTAAAACTGAACTCTTAATCTTGTATCTAAATCTTCTCCGTCCCGGGTGGAGGGATCATCTTTCTAACTCCTCCTTTCTCAAAACTCACACAGAGTCACCTGCATAACTCAGAATCCTTCCCCTTCTTACAACTTCTTCCATGACACTCCTAGTGGGAGCGATGGTCATCTCTCAACTGAACAGTGCAATGGCCTCTTAGCTGGTCTCTCTGCTTCCATTCTTGCTTACACGATATTTGCAATTCACATGGCAACTATAGTGATCCTTTAAATATGTAAGTCAGATCACGAAATCCTCTGCTCGAATCCCTTCAGGGGCTCCCGATCTTGTTAGAGTAAAAGGTGAAATCCTTACAGTGGCTTCCAAAGCGCTGATCCGGTTCCCTATCACTGCTCTGATCTCACCCCCCAGCTCCCCACTCACACTCTAGGCACCCTGGCCTCCTGGTTCCTACAAATGTCAGGCCATGCTCTTGCTGTAGGGTTTGCCCTTCCCTCTGCGTCTACTGCTTCCCCTCCAGAGACCCTCATGATTTAACTCCTTTACATCCTTTAAGTCCCCAATGAGGCCCACTCTGCCCACCTTTTCAAAATTTGCAAACTCCCCGTACTCCAGTACTCCCAATTCTCCATACCCTGCTCTATGTTTCTCTTTCCATTCAAGTTCTTTATTATAGCTGTTGTTTATTGCCTGTCTCTCCCTACTGGAATGTTGATTCCATGAGGACAGAGATTTTGAGTAATCACTGATGTATCCCAATGCCTAGAATAGTGCCTGCTGCAGCACAAGGTAGGAGCTCAATAATATCTCACTGACTGACTGGATGAGTCCTAGAATCAGTAAAAATCAGAGCTAAAGATGATCTAGCCCGTCACCCCTCATTGGTAGCTACCAGTGTTTAGTCCTCTTTAATTTCTTATATTTTTTAAATTTTAATAATGTGTTTTATTCAACACAATATATCTGATATTATCATATTAATACATAATCAATATGTAATTACTAACAAAGTATTTTACATTATTTTTATTTGTATTATCTGCCCCCCACAGTTTTGTTGACATACAATTGATATACACTGTGTTAGTTTTAGTTGTACAACATGATGATTGGATATATGCATATATTGAGAGATGATCACCACAACAAACTTAGTTAACATCCATCACCTCACATTCTTACACATTTTTTCCTTACACATTTAAATTTCTTTTAACCTAGTCATCTGTTGTTATATTTGCAATATTACTTAACTGTTTTCTGTGAATTGTATAGCTTTATGAGATACATCTAGCTGATCTTAGGACAATCAGATTTCTGTGCAAACTTATACTACAGTGAAATAATTACCTCTGATGTACTGGCATTTCATCCTAATTTTAAAAACATGGACCCGGAAAAAACAACTAAGAGTAAAATGGACTGTACGTTCATGGCGATTTAATGCCCTCTGCTGGCTCTAAAGCATCAGAACGTCTGAAAAGATTTCCAGGTATTTGCTAATTGTTTTACAGTATAAAAATGCTTTTAAAACTTAACAGTAAATTTGAATAAAACTGCTTTGTCATCATGAAAGAAATAATTTCAAAAATCCATTTTTTCCATTGCAAACTATATTCTTGATTGTTGTTTTTTAAAATAATTACTAAAATTACAAATACAATAAAAATAGATTTATAGAAAAATAGGACAACTATTTTTCCTGGTAATTTTAAAGGATTAATAAATCTTACTTTGAAAACACCTGAAATGGGACACCTGGGTGGCCCAGTAGGTCAAGTGTCCCACTCTTGATTTCGGCTCAGGTCATGATCTCACAGTTTGTGGGTTCAAGCACCGAGTCGGGCTCTCCTCTGACAGTGAGGATCCTGCTTGGGATTCTCTCTCTCCCTCTCTTCCTGCCCCTCCCTCTCTCTCAAAATAAATAAACATTTAAAAAACACACCAAAAAACCTGGAAAAAACCATACTGATTTCTTGGATGGGTATGCAACAATGTGAAAACTATGTCACATATACCCAGTTAGTGTGATAAACACACTCATATTTTGAAATATTAGAATTATTCACCAGTACTCTGCACAAGATGAAACAGCAGGTGGTGACACTCTGGTGACACTGGAGTGTTTGGCATCAGGGTGCAAACCCAGCTGTGTTTCCTTCCCACGAAGTAACTTCCTCAGTTCTCCAACCTTCACAACAACATGAGTAAGACCTAATTCAAGAAACATTCAACGAATACTCATACACAGAACATCTACTTATCTCTGAGTTAATCATTCCTGCCATAATATTTCTATCCCAATTTGTTTATGCTTTTATAATAGCAACTTATTGTACACTAGCTTGTATTAGAACCAGTACTGCCTATTTTGTAGCTTAGTTATAAATATTATCTCCTCTGTTGGCCTAAGAGTTAGTTTACTTAATTCAGATAAATTCAACATTTATTGAGAGACAATAGTGCGCAGCAATTTGAGAGATGAAAAAAAAATCAGATAACTACCTTAACTTGTCCTTCTTTCAAAACTATCATTTTTTAAATGTTTATTTATTTACTTTTTTTTACTTTTTGAGAGACAGAGAGCACAAGCAGGGTAGGGACAGAGATAGAGAGGGAGACACAGAATCCAAAGCAGGCTCCAGGCCCTGAGCTGTTAGCACAGAGCCCGACGCGGGGCTCAAACCCACGAACGATGAGATCATGACCTGAGCCAAAGTGGGACGCTCAACCAACTGAGCCACCCAGGCGCCCCCAAAACTAACATGTTTAAGAATTTTCTTGAAGCTGCTAAACAAGAGAGTTGACACTCATAGAGGAGCTCTTCCTAAAAACAACTGAAGAGAGTTCCAAAAAACGCCCCAAAAAACCCTGTTGTCTACTTGAACTAGCTGGAGAGCTACCCACATCACCCAAAGAATGCATTTTGGCTTGTTTTATTTAGTTTTTCACTTTCTACCTTAACACGTGAAAGCAAGCGCTCCTTACCTTAACAAAGCTCATCCGGATAGTGCACATCTTGGTTAACTCATAGACGACTTCAAATCCGTGGTGAACTGACTGAGCCAGCAGCTGAGCAAAGAGCTGGTTGTTGAAGATCTTGAGACTGCAGCCACTGGGGATCTTGCAGACGGTGGCCGGGTGGAAGCCATGCTGATAGTTGCAGTTCCGGCTCTGCACGAAGATGCTGCTGTCACTCACACACTCGGCATACACCTCTCCCCCAACATAGTATAAATGCACGCCTACAAGGTAAAAATGGCGTCCTCAAGCAGCAGTACCAATAGTTTAGGATTAACACCATCCCCTTCTCATTGCAACGTCAAGGTGTGTGATGGTCTGTTGCGAAATTAATTTTAATATCACCACAACCACAGTATGAAGCGTGACCTCCATGCTTGTGGCTTTTTTCCCACAAGTCCATTTAAAAGTGGATGGCAACCCATGTTTACAATGATTGTGGAGACTCTCCTGTACTCCTCCGTCTGTCACTCTCGATCTCGTGCTCGTGCTTATCCACTCTATTATTTTTTATTTATTTTTTAATGTTTACTCATTTTTGGGAGAGAGAGAGACAGAGCACGAGCAGGGGAGGGGCAGAGACAGAGGGAGACACAGAAACTGAAGTAGGATCCAGGCTCTAAGCTGTCAGCACAGAGGCCGAGGTGGGGCTCAAAACCACAAACTGTGAGATCATGACCTGAGCCCAAGTTGAACGCTTACACCCAGGCGCCCCATTATTCACTCTAAAAGTAAGCTCTCAGGGTGCTGGGTGGCTCAGTCGGTTGAACATCCGACTTTGCCTCAGGTTTGTGAGTTCAAGCCCCGCGTTGGGCTCTGTGCTGACAGCTCAGAGCCTAGAACCTGCTTCAGATTCTGTGTCTCCCTCTCTCTCTGCCCTTCTCCCTGCTCTTTCTCTCTCAAAAATAAAAATATTAATTTTTTTTAACTTTTCACCTACTATTATAGATCACAGAAATAATGCCTATATTGTACTTGGGAACAAGGAAATCCTTGCCACCTTTTTCAGATATAAAGACTCACAATAAAAATGCAGCTTATGCTACTCTATCTCACACTCTTCTACTTTTTTTTTTTTTCCTTCACGTTCTTGTACTTAACAAAGCAAGACAGCATCCTGAGATTGGTGCTTCCCAGGCTAATTTTTATTCCAAATTAAAGCTGAGCTGATTCTTTCCCTCCAAGTATCTGGGTTAAAGACTTAACATAAATGCATATATAGCAAGCGACTGGGGTTAGATGAAATGAAGAAGTTCAAGTCTAGTGAATGTTAAATACCAGAATGGTTTTTCCAGCCTTTCATCAGAAACACAATTCTCCAGCATTAGGTGTCAATGTAATTGTAAACACAATCGCTGTGCAGTCACAAGGTGTTCATATAAACGGTCCAGAATACACCTAGAGTGATATACTTTGGATCTCTTCAAACTGCAAATACAGATTTTTAAATGATATAATCTAGAGACCCCTGGGGGGTTCTGCACAGTTGTGCACCGAGGAAACATTATGGAGGCAGCGAGCTGCTCAGTGCCTGTCAGGTTCTAAGCAGCACTTGAGGTGACCGTGCATTAGCTGTGACTGCCTTCCATCATATTTATTGTTTCCTTTTCCCATCTCCTTTCCCTTAATACAATTTTAGAAAAGAATGTTTTTCAGTACTACGCATTCCAGCCATAGCACTGGAGACACGGATGTGGAGTCATAAAGCTAAAGTATTTGACGTTGAGGCCAGGGTTCTCCTTCTCTCCATCTCGGGCTGGCCCCTCTCCTTTTTTCTCAGCTCTCACTCCCTTTTCTTTCTCATGTCTCTTCTCACAGTCCCTGAACAGCCGGGGATCTGGCACCAATGGCCCAGGCCGTGAACAGTAGGCAGGAAGGTCCCAACTGGCTGGGACACAGTTACCTGGCTGCATGGACATGGGGGTGAGGCAGGGGCAAATACAAGCAGACTTCCTTTACCAGCCCCTGTGAGCTCCCTGGGGGGAAGGCCTACCTCTGGAGTGGTTGTGGTTTTCTCAGAAGAGGGTGAACCAGTGGGGAAAGAGCCAGCGGAGACTGCTAAGTATTTAGTATGTATTTGAATTGAATGACCTTCAAATTTATAATCTTCCCAGAACCTACTAAGTAAAATAGATCGGACTTTTTGTTATCTGACTCTGGTCTTTATTTAGGGGATGATTTTCAATCCTGTTAAAGTATTACCTGCAACCACAGCACAGTTGCCAGAGTAAGGAAAGCAGAGAAGAGCCTGGGCAGGCAGGTGGTAGTTTAGCATCCTGAGCAAAAAGGGGCCAGAGCCCAGGGAATTAGCACGTGGAGGCTTGAGTCAGCTCTGAGCAGCAGGCAAGGGTGGATTTCAATGCCAGTGTGAAGGAGGCTGGGTTTTGGTTAGAGAGGGGCATCCAAGGAAAAGTCAAGTAGGCAAGTCATTTTATTTGCATCCACCTGATAGGCCAAAACAGGGGCTTTAAACCACATGTATTAGATTCAAAATCTTCACAGAGAACAGCGAGCAAAAAGGATAAATGCCCAAAGAAAATGCATCCTGAGATGACAAAGAGGACCCAGGCAATGTGCTCCCCAGGCAAGCTCTTCCAGCATTTTCTCTTGGGCTGCATCTCTCTTTATCTGAGTTTCCCACTTCTGTGTGACTGCCGCCCACATTTTAGGAGATGAGGGAGTGTGGAGTCCTGTGTCGTGGTTACTTAGGACCAGAGAGAGACACCTTGGGTTTGATTTGGGTCTGCTAAGTCAGACTGCAAGAGTGTTCCCTTTTGGTCTTCTTCCATAGTCTTGAATGACAGGGAAATAACAGGTAAGACTGAGAGGAAGGTGCGTAGGTTGGTGAGAAGGTTCCCTTGGTTTTGTAATTGATCATCCCCTTGCTTTTGTTACCCTCTCGTCTGCACACCATTTTAGCAACCTAGCTGAATATCAGAATCATCTGGAGCTTTAAGAAAGTGCATATTTCTGGGTGTAATAATGGTACTTTTAGAAACCCCTTATATAGATATATATGTATATACACACATGTATACACACATATGTATATACATACACACATGTATATACACATATGTATATACATACACATATGTATGTACATACATATATATGCATATATATGTATCTATATATATGCATATATATACTCAAATCTGTGGAGAAAGGATATGAAATCTGAGATTTATTTTAAAATACTCTTGCAAGGGGTGCCTGGGTGGTTCAGGAGATTGAGTGTCTGACTTTGGCTCAGGTCATGATCTCACAGTTCCTGAGTCTGAGCGCTGCATCAGGCTTGCTGTCGTCAGCACAGAGCCCTCTTTGGATCCTCTGTCCCTCTCTCTCTGCACCCTGCCCCCTGCTCATGCTTTCTCAAAAATGAATAAATCCTAAAAATTTTTTTGAATACTCTTGCAAAACTATCATGGAGGGATAGAAGAAAAAATGCACAGAATGCGAATCATTATTGAAGCTAGAGATGGTGCTATGAATATTCACTACACGATCTGTCCACTTTTGTAGATGTTTGGAATTTTCCAAAATAAAACAAAATGTTTTAATGTATGATCGGAAAATAATAATATAAGAACACAGATTTCCAGATCCACGCTAGGGCTTTGGTTCAGAGGATAGGCCCTCCATTGGACTGTGCCTGCAGCTGTGCACTCCACAATCCAGGGTGTGCCTCATAGCCTTTTAAGATCTAGGTAATCATGATAAAGCTACTCCAGAAGATGGCAGTAGCTTCTCTTGAGAAAGGGGCTTCTAATTCACACAAAGCCATCTCTGGGCTGGTAGCGACGTCAGTCCCCCAAATCTGTATTTGAAGACTGGAAGTCTCTTTGGACGATATGATGAACAAACAGGTTCATCACACCTGTTTGGCCGACACTGAATGGCCCACGTCAGTACTCACACTCAGCCACTCTGCCGGGCTGGGCCACACTACTGCAGCAATCCTGGTGTGCCCTTACATGCCACATCCCACCTCCCCCCACACCCCCTTCCCGCCACATCCTTCCACGATCAGGAAAGCCCACTAGAGAAAATTTAGAAAATACAGAGATGCAGAGACTAAAACTCAGCTACAATCAAAGCTAACAGTTGCTATATACCTTTCAGGCTTCTCTTTCACGTGTGTTCTTTAAACCTTTCACCCTTCCCCTACTAACAGTTTAATTTTATTATAATAGCCAGGGGATCAGGTGAAAATTCAGATCTCGACTTAAATCTATCTTATTATTTTATGCAGAGTCAAAGCTAAAGCACTTAAAATGGCCTCAAGGTCACTGCGACCTGGTCCTTTCCCCTCCTCCTCTTCAAAGATTTCCCCATTCCCTTACTACTCATCTTGGCCCACTCACCGTGGCTTCCCTGATGTTCCTTACAATATACCAGGTAGGCTTCAGGGCCTTTGCCCCTGCTGTTCCCTCTGCTTCGAAAGTTCCCCCTCCGTGTAGCTAATTCCCTCTTTCCCTTTCTGTTCAAATGTGACCTTGTTAGGAAAGTCTTCCCTGGCTACCCCACTCTGCATTAAAACATGCCCTCCCCATTTTCTTCCTCTCCTGTGTTTTTCTCTAATCATTAAACATACCATTATTTCTTCTCTGTCTTTCCTTAGTTATAATAGGTAACCCATGAAAGCAGGATTTTGTGTTTTTGTTTTGTTTACAACTGTTACATCCCTAATGATGGAATAATCCGGCTAAGAACAGATAAGAACAGATGCTCAACAAATATTTGTAAGATGAATGCTTATCTCTGAAATCTAAGTGTCTCTATTAATTAACTCCATAGAAAAAGTTAACTTATTCACTAATCTAGGTGGGCTTTTGCTCCAAATTTATTCGGGCTGGTGCTCTAGGAAGCCTGCTGCTTAGAAACAAATAATCCAAGGGAGCACCTGAGAAACAGTCCCTTGACCTCATAGAAGACTGATAGCTCTTCCTTTAAAAATACTCTGGGGCACCTGGGTGGCTCAGTCAGTTAAGCGTCCGACTTTGGCTCGGGTCATGATCTCACAGCTCGTGGGCTTGAGTCCCGTGTCAGGCTCTGTGCTGACAGCTCAGAGCCTGGAGCCTGCTTCAGATTCTGTGTCTCCCTCTCAGCCCCTCCCTGAATCACGCTCTGGTTCTCTCTCTCTTTCTCAAAAATAAATAGATGTTAAAAAAATTTTTTTCTAAATTCTAAGACAACTTTGTGTGTGTGCCATACTTTATGATATGACTTATTAACTCCTCTAAAAAAAGGTGGGTTTTTTTTCCACATTAAAGCACTTCCAAACAGCTTTCTGAGAAGACTCTGACTCTGATTGGAGACCACATGAGGGTGGAGTGCCCTTCCATCCAATCAGCACTTACACAGACTTTATGGCTTCCATAAAAGGCCATCCATCCTAGCCCTTCCAGCCAATCAGCACTTAGACAGACTCTCTGGCTTCCGTAAAAGGCCATCCATCCATCCTAGCTCTTTTTCCTATGGCTTCTTAACCTGGGGATTAGCTCTCAGGCAATAATGCAGAACCTCAACTCTCCATGTCTGCAGCAACAGCACCTTAAGCAAGCTACTTTCGGAAGGGCTCCCAGAAGGTATACAACACTCCTTTAATATCTGAAGTCTATCTTTGGATCAAGTGGCAGCAGCATAAGTCTGAAGTCTAATACACAGACCAATGTGCAAAGCCCCTCAGCACACAGCTCCACAATGTTTTAATGTTCTGCCTCTCGATTTCACTTGGAGATTCTTATAAAAATCATTTGAAAGTAAAACCGCAGTACCTGACAAATTTATTTAAGAATTTAGTCAAAGGGAAAGAATGGCTATGCTTCCTCCTTTACGATAAAAATTACAGTACAGTTGTGTTTCCTTGTTTTGACCTCCCTGTTAGGAAACCTAGAGCAAAATTTTAATCACAATTACAGTGGTCACCTTTAGCTATATTCTCCTTTCCTGCCACCCTCAGCCCCCAGTTTCTGATTTTCTATTTTTCATTTATCATTTCACTGCGAAGTTTTCCCTTATGCCACCTCAAAGCCACTATGGAAAAATACAGGATATAAACAAACATAAATATCACCATGAGAGTCAACATCAATGAATAAATTCAACCTGTTTCTAATCAACGGCGTGTAGGTTTCCTATGACAGAAGAAATTTAGGGGGTATGTTAGAAAGAATATTTAGAATGATCATCGAGTACAATAATCAATCTTCTCTGGAAATCTGAAAGAAAAGGCTTGTGGCTACCTTGCTGAAGTGGTCTAAGGGCTGGAGGGAGAGAGAAAAGATAAAATGACTCTAAAGGTTCTATATGCCTGTGAATCCACAGTAGTCCGACATGACAGTGGACAACCAGGTATTAAACGCTACCAACTATTCTAATATAAAGAAAATGATTTAAAGACCTGCAACCAGGCCTCACACTCGGGTAGGATTTGCTACCGTGGATCATGGTTATGAGACAGGCTTCAAAGCACCACTGGCCAGACCCCAGTGAAGCCTGTGCCCATCTGCTTCATAACAATGCCTGGTCACAGGAGACCGCCAATCGCTGCCAAAGGTTCCCAAACATAAACAGGTCGTGATTTTCACTACTTCGCTTCTAAGTCTCCAAAGGTCACTTTACCTGATATATAAACTCACCAAGCCAGAATTCCTCTTATTTTGCATCTTTAGGCAATTTGAAAATAATTCATGATACTTCCCTTCAATAATTTCATCCTGCCTTCATATTTACCATCTTGTTTGTCTTCATAATATTTAACCTATGCCACTCTCCAAAAGATGCTGTGCTGACCCTAGAAGTAGAGAGACTAAGACCCTGCAAGCCTAGCTGTTTTCTCCCAGCTCAACAGCCTAGGACCAACCTGCTAGGTTATGTGGCCAGTATGTGGCTTGTTCCTGTCCCATGTTTTAGCTCAGAAGAATATAGGAATTACATATTTGCTTTTACCCTTTCCTATGTGTCTCCTGGTGTTTTCTATTGTTGAGTTTCTGTTTACGTTAGAAAGAAGTCCAAGACAGAATCTGTTCCTGTTATTTGAAGGGTCTGTGAATCCATCTATAAGCACGCTTCGGGAGGAGGCCTGGAACGTCTCCCCAACTCGGTTGTTCAGTTCATAGTACGCAACAGAGCACCAGTGCTGTGGTTCCTCGTAGCAAACTGGTCGAAAGTCTGCAAGAAAAAGAACGAGAGAGCACATCACCACTGTCATGCCTGGCTTCCCATCTCACGATTCCACCTGGAAACTTACATTAATGCTGTCAACCAGAAAGGCGGCTGTGAGACAAGGATGCTCTTTGTGATCTTTACAAACCTGTCACTTGACAGAAGCTATTGTAGTTAGCTCATCTAGTTAACACATGTGGCACAGAGGCCACAGTCCTTGTGACTCTCCCATGGTTAGAGCATTTGTAATCATATTTATAAGTATTGAGGGGGCCTGACAAACAACAATATGAACAGATCAATGTCAATTCCATCGCCCCTAAAGGAGACAGCTCCAAGGATGGTGGCAGGTCACCTCCTCTTTATGTGTGAATGATAGCATATTACTGTCACTGTACCAAACTGAGTCCCTGTGACAAGAGTATCATTTCCTAACAAACTAAAAATGAAAAATAATAATTTGGATATAATAAAAGCTGAATCAAAACTCCAGATAGGAATTTAAATTACTGAAGAAAGAAAAAAAAAAACTTCTATATAGACTCACATTCTCTGATGTGTACATATGGAGTATTTAGTTATTTATGGCATAAACTATTTTATTTATTTATTTTTTTTAATTTTTTTTTTCAACGTTTATTTATTTTTGGGACAGAGAGAGACAGAGCATGAACGGGGGAGGGGCAGAGAGAGAGGGAGACACAGAAACGGAAACAGGCTCCAGGCTCTGAGCCATCAGCCCAGAGCCTGACGCGGGGCTCGAACTCACGGACCGCGAGATCGTGACCTGGCTGAAGTCGGATGCTTAACCGACTGCGCCACCCAGGCGCCCCTGGCATAAACTATTTTAAAGACAGCTGTATGTTTCATTAGGAAATCCAAGAATGTTATGCCAAACTTTTCAAAGCTAATTAAGTTGCCAGTAACCAACAACAGTTCAGAGTGCTAATTCTTTGCCACTTTCTCCACCTTTTTTAGTGATTATATTAGCTCTCTTCTCTTTGAATATCCTAGTTAGTCTTATATCTACAGTGTGTTCCTATATGCACTAAAACATAAATTTTTGAAACATACATTAGGGGGTTATTATCTGATTTACAAAAGGGCCTTTACTTATAGAAGACTTCACCCTGGCCGACTTTAAACACTAAGCTCCCTTACACCCTCTCCACCCAGTGTGGTTCCTGGAACTACAGCTTGTGCATTGCCTGGGAGCTTGCTAGGAATGCCGGTTCTTGGATGCCACCCTGGATTTACAGAATCAAAACCTGCATTTACAGAAGATCGCCATGTGGTTTATGTGAACGTGAAAACTGAGCAACGTTTATCCAGCTCATTATAGGAAACAGATAAAATCCTGCAAAAACCCTATTTACATATTTACATATATTTGTAAGGGCACCTCTCTAAGCCAAATCAAAGACCCCATGACAAAACTATAGTATAAACACAACTGGAGCAAAATTGCTAACTTAAATACCACTTCCTGTACTCAACATCCAGAACTACAAACATCTAAATGTTAGGTTAAAATAAAAAATTAACTTACTCTAGTAACCGGGCTGATAAACAAACATTCACTCTACGGTATTGAGGAATGCCAAAGTTAAAATGCACAGCCATGGTTTCTGCCCCTTAAAACACATGTGAAATAGCAGGCTAGCACATTTCATTTTGTTTTTGGATTTGTTTTGTTGTGGGGTAATAGGAAATGCTCTTGGAAAACAGCTACATTTAGCTGTTCATCTACAAATTTACCTCCATTAGGCACTGACAGCACTAAATGACTATCAGCTGTGGCATCTACAGGTCGGCCATTCTGGGTCCCTGGGGCTTCTGTGGCATGATAAGGCGGGGGTGGTGTGTCAGCTAAAAGAAAGCAGTAAAACAGAGGAATGTCAAACTGATAAACTGCACAAAGACAGATCCAACCTTTCTTGCTGTGAAACTCCAGGGCTTGGTGGATAGCGTTATTGCTAAAGACGGGCAGTAATATAATAAGGCTATTCTGCAGGACATTGTGAGTGTCACATAGAAGAAATCGGTTGTCCAGACATCCTCACAAAACGGCTGATTAGTTTTCCCTCTCACTTAGGAGTTATCTATGAGTTATAAGTTCCGATGAATGTAGGATAAGATTTTCAAAGCTAGGAGCTATTCTCCTAGCTTTTGCAATGGCAGAAGAGTCCGCTGTCTGACTTTCAAAGCAGAAAGCTAAACCTTCTTTGAAGTGAGCTTAATTTTCAATTCCTCTGTTGCCATGGATTGTACAATGGCCACAGAGATGGTCTCTCTCTGAGATAGTTCCAAATCTGCTCCCCCAAATGCAGAACAGTTGAAACCTGATTATAACCTGTGCCCCAAGGCATGCTGAGAGGAGCTCTTCTCCCCAAATATCAGTTCTATAATTGGACAGTGATCAGGGTTAGGCAAATGGGTGTGCATTCAGTAGATAATATCTTATCAGAAATTAATTCACAACACAATAAAAACTCCTGCAGCAGAGGAAGAACCTTTCAGTGAGAACATCAGAATAACTGATTCCTCCTGTATACATTCCTAATGTCAGTTCAGAATAGTCTTGTTTTGTTAGGGGTGGATGGAGTGCAGTGGCATGAAAAGTTGACTCAGTCTGCCTTTGTTGAATTGAATTTTGTCCATTCCAGTAGTTCCCACGCTTAAAGTGTGCATAAAATTGCCAGTGAAACTCTAGTTAAAGATGCAGATTCCTCAGAAATTCTGAGTCTGCAGGTCAATGGCTAGATGAAGACATGTATGTTTACAGGCACTGATGGCAGTTCCCAGTGCATGCCACATCGTCCAACCGTGGATAAATCATTTCCTTGTGAGAAAATAAACGCTGACCCTGTTTATAGGAAAAGTCATAAAGCAAGGTGGCCCTTTTGTAGGTCCTTGACTGGGTCTATCTATAAAATACAGGTTGAACATAGTTACCCTATCACCATATCCACTCCTAGGCATATGCCCAAAGGAGCTGAAAGCAGGGACTCAAGCAGATGCTTGCATGCCAGTGTATACAACAGCACTCACACTAGCCAAAAGGTGGAAATAACCCAAACATCCATCAACCAACAAACGGATTTTTTTTTTAATGTGGTATATCCATTCAATGGAATACTGCTGTCACAAAAATGAAGTAACTGACACAGGATACAACCTAAACTATGAAAACACTATGCTAACTGAAATAAGGCAGACACAAAAAAGGCAGATAGCATATGATTCCACTTCCGTGAGGTACCTAGAATAAGCCAATTCATCAAGATAAGAAGCGGGTTGAAAGTTACCAGGGGCTGGAGGAAGGAAGAGGGAGAGAATTGGGAGCTACTGCTTAATGGATACAAATTTCCTGTCAGGTCGATGAAAAAATTACGGAAATAGACACTGGTAATGGTAGCACACAACTATGAATGTACTTAATGCCACGATATCGCACACTTAAAAATGGTTAAAATGGCAAATTTTATGTGATATGTATTTTACCACAGCTTTAAAAAATTAAGATATGAAAAACCATTAAGTGCCACATTTTAAGTGTGTGAACTCTACGATGTATGAACTATATCTCCATAAAGCTGGTATAAAAAAAATTAAGGGGCTGAACCAGTGAATTTCAAGATTTCCTTTTAGTCTCACTTACCTGTGGATCTGTATTCAGGTTGCATTTTGCTGTTAATCATTCAGAAAAGAATTGTTTTCTCCGAAATGAAAAGAGCCATTCCCTCCCTAAAAACTAAGCAGCTTCTGCAAAGGTGCTGAGGTCCATCTTTCATGGGTAGAAGAGGGAAAATATCAACCTGCTAGTCCCACCAATTCAGGAAGACAACGTCAGTGCAGGCAAGCTTTACAGTGCAGATACATTTTATGTAAATACGTGTTGGTGACATAATTATCCTCCTTTCTCTTAACCATGGCTCTGTCCTCAAATGACTTCTCTTCCTGTTGTGTCTCTTTCTCTGTGAATCCAGCCTCTTGTAAGACAGCAGCCATCTCCTTCCAGTCTGTGTGGATGACCCCTGAGCTTCCTCCCAGGGTCTCACCCCACATCAAGCCCTACTGAGTCCACCTCCTCAAATTCATTGTCTTCTTTCCATCCCCATATACCTCCCTTAGTTCAAGTCCTTATAGTTACTTGCCCAGGCATTACTGAGACCATGATTGTTCTCAACAGCCATTACCTCTTAAAAATCAGAGACTACAGTCATAATCAATCATCATCATACCTGTAGCAGTAGCACAGGGCCTGGCACTTTTTAGGCACTCAGTAATTACTTACTGACTCAATAACATCTATATCTATAACCCTGAGCACTAGCCCTGTGTTCCAAATGCCTGTGTGGTGGTCCATTTACTCTGTAACCAACGAATGAGCGACTACTGTGTTTTAGCGCCTGTGCTACACATATAAAAGAGAAGATGACTGGCAGTTGAATGGGGGAAATAGACCCAGAAGGAATTATACAATGTAGTGTGTTAAATGAAATAGTAAACATATATGGAAATAGTAGCTGTATTGTTGAGGGGGCAAAAGGAAGAACTGAATAACTCAGAAAGGAAGGGCAACTCTTTTCCTGTCTTCCCACATTTTATAAGTTCTGTGAGGATAGGGACAATTTTTACCGATCTTTTAATTCTCCTTTCGGCTCCCTAAGCAATGCTTTATGTAATAAAAGTTCAATAAATCTCTCTTAAATAAATGAATATATGAACAAATGAATGAGGCAGATCATAACATCTAGCACCAAATGAATCTATTCATGCCTTTAAGAACTTGTTCCTCGGGATATGATCTACCTCACACTCATGAGGTGCATGTAAACCTCTTCATCATTATCTAACTTAGACCCACTTTATAGCCATGGTAGCATGTGCAATTATGACAACGTGCTTGATTCTCTCTTTTGCCCAGGGCATGCACACTCCCTCTCCCTTACGTAGGCTTCTTCAGTTCAGCAAATGTTTACTGAGTAAGTCTGTCTTCAAGATGCTGTGCTGGCTTCACACAACACAAAGGGAGGACACGCTGGTGAGGTGAGGCCTGACACTGCCCCGGTGAAGTTATGCAAAGAAAAGGCCAAGCATGGACCCCTCACGTTTCTTGCCCTCAGGCCAAGTCTTCCTGCTTCAGTCAGCGAAGTATTTTATTATCGCAATTCTGCGACCTTTAAAAAAAAGGCCATTTCGTTTCTGAGCGTTCCCAGAGGATTAGAACCAGAAATCAGAGCAAAGAGATGTTGTAGCTCCAGAACAAATGCTCCCAAATGGCCCTGATCTTAGAAGGGGCAGGGTCTAGTGGCCCACAGGAGATTGCCACACAAACTGTAAAGCTCCATATGAACATCAGTAGCCAGTGATTATGATGATGACGGCCCCACCGTGAATAACTGTGTTGGGTCAGGCTCTATGGAGACCGACTGCAGCTTTTTTTTAAATTTTTAAAAAAAATTTTTTTTAACATTTATTCATCTTTGAGACAGAGAGAGACAGAGCATCAACGGGGGAGGGGCAGAGAGAGAGGAAGACACAGAATCCGAAGCAGGCTCCAGGCTCTGAGCCATCAGCCCGGAGCCCGACGCAGGGCCCGAACCCACGGACCGCGAGATTGTAACCCTGAGCTGAAGTCGGACGCTAAACCGACTGAGCTACCCAGGCGCCCCGACCGACTGCAGCTTTTACTGACCTGAGTGTTGATAGGGGCTCTCTGGCTCGGAGGGGCTTCCTGGGGAGTGAGGGTAGCCGGCGGTGCACGGGGACTGTGAGAACACGTGCCCAGGCGAGGGAGGGAACGCAGGGCACGGAGGCTGCTGGAAGGAGTCGGGATAGGTGGCATTGTGTGGCATGAGAGGCTCGCTGTGGAGGGAGGCACTGCGGAACTTGGCCAGGAGGCTGAGCTGGGGGTTGTATTCACTATGTCTTGGCACGAGCACCGGAGGCAGCACTAGGATGAGAAAGGAACCAGCGGGTTAGACTCGAACGTTGGCTCCGCGGCACAAAACCCGGTGGACGCTTGCTGTTTGTGTCTGTCCATTTTTGCTGAGACAACTCTGTTTTCTGGGAACTATCCATCCACCATTCTTTGTGCTTGCTGTAGACCTGTCAGTTAAGGTCCCATCTTTTCCCAGAAAGTGAGCTTGTGAAACAAGCTGAACACCAAAGTTTAACGCTTAAACACTCTTATTGCAAACTGAGTATTAAACAGAGTATCACAGTAAAAAACAACAACAAACAAAAAAACAGTTTAGAGGAGAATCGTTCTGATGTCAGCACTCTAAAGAGACTGTCTATTCAGTCCTACCACAGAAATTACCAGAGCTGCCCTATTATGTGGCCATCTGCAGATCTAATTGCTTATGTCTTCCTTTAATTTTGCCCATAAAGTGGTTATTTTTTTAAGGCAAAATTGGTTTCTAAGTGATCCTCAGAATTTTTTTTCCCTCAGATACCATGTTGAATTATTCAGATGGCCAGCCTAAATTTTAGGCTCAGTGGTACTGCTAAAGTAAAAAAAAAAAAAAAAAAAAAAAAGAAAAGAAAAAAAAAATTCTACTTGTCTTTACCAGAAAGATTTAAAGGTATCCAAAAATCATTAAGTAAAAGATAAACAGAGAGTTATAGAAGTAAGAGATAAGCAGAAATAAGAGAACTTATAAATAAAGCCCCATGTGTGTTTCTTCTGAATTCCATACTTGAAAAACAAAAGTATTTTTGATCCTGATTCTATACAAACAGTTAGGAATGGATGCAGTCCTCAAAGGCAAACATTATCCAGGCTTTCCTAGTTCCTATTGATTTCTGCAGTGTCACAACACCTGGCAGTTGTCAGTAAATGGTGTTGAGTACAGCCTCTGACCAACATAAGTTCCAGAAAGAGAAGCAGAAAAAACAGAGGGAGGAAGTGATCAAAGAAATAACAGAAGAAAATCTCCCAGAGCTAAAGAAGAATCTATGTCATCACATTGAAAAGAGCCGTGGAATACACAACCCAGTTAACGAAAAGAGATCCAGACTTGGTCATACCACCTTGAATTTCAAACATCGAAGGGCAAATGAAATATTCTAAGGGTTCCTAGAGGATCACCTCAAAGCCACCTATGAAGACATGAGAACTGAACTGACTATTGGTTTCCCATCACCAATGCTGGACACTAGAAAGCAATAGACCAAGGCTCTTCTAAGGGAAAATAATTCTTAACACAAGATCCCACGATGGAAACCAATACAGTAGCCAAAAAATAACATAAATCATAAACTAAAATGTAGATATCAAAGATTCAAAAAGAAGAAAAAAAGAGAGAAGTTAATATAAATTAGCTAAATCCTCATCTTTTGTATTAGTCAATGAAATTATCTAAAGGTGATAAATTCAGAAATAGATTTATAAGCATATCATATAGAGTTACCTCCACAATTTTTAGGAATCAATGTGTAAACATTGTCTAGGTGTATATTATCTAGAGTTATCTCCATAATTTTTGGTAATAATGGAAGGAACTAGCAAAAGAACTAACCAATAATGATTAAAAGAAGTTGTTTCTGGAGATGGATGTGGCAGCTCTTGTTTTTAATCACACTATTGATTTGTTACCATACGCAAATATTGATAAAAACTTTCATAAACAAGTAAATATTCTGGGGGCGCGTGGGTAGCTCAGTTGGTTAAGCTTCCTTCCAACTTTGGCTCAGGTCATGATCTCACAGTTTGTGGGTTTGAGCCCTGTGTCGGACTCTGTGCTCACGGCTCAAACCCTGGAGCCTGCTTCAGGTTCTGTGTCTCCCTCTCCCTCTGCCCTCCCCTCACTTGTGCTCTCTCTAAAAACTAAATAAACAGGGGTGCTGGGTGGCTCAATTGGTTAAGCATCAGCTTAGGTCATGATCTCACATTCCGTGAGTTCAAGCCCTGCGTCGGGCTCTGTGCTGACAGCTCAGAGCCTGGAGCCTGCTTCAGATTCTGTGTCTCTCCCTCTCTCTGCCCCTCTGCTGTTCATGCTCTGTCTCTCTCTGTCTCAAAAATAAATAATAACATTAAAAAAAATTTTTTAATAAAAAATAAACATTAAAACAATTAAAAAAAATTTTTTTTTAACGTTTATTCATTTTTGAGACAGAGAGAGACAGAGCATGAACAGGGGAGGGGCAGAGAGAGAGGGAGACACAGAATCTGAAGTAGGCTCCAGGCTCTGAGCTGTCAGCACAGAGCCCGACGCGGGGCTCGAACTCATGGACCGTGAGATCATGACCTGAGCCGAAGTCGGACGCTTAACCAACCAAGCCACCCAGGCGCCCCTAAAACAATTTTTTAAAGGGTAAATGTTTCAGAATAAACAAACAACAATAATAGCAATAAAATAACATCAATCACAAAGCCTACCACTTATCCACCATAAAACATCTATGTCTTTCTTAACAAGCAACACTTTTTCGTTCTACATGTAGAAAATAAACCCTAACAGGTAAATGAAAAGTCTTAAACTAAACCACAACAGTCGAGGGTGCAGAGAAACACATTATTTCTTCCCCCTTTAAAAGCCAATATGTGCATATACTGTTTTATGACATTATAGGGCACCCAATGGCATCATCATTCAAAAAATGAACTGGATGATAAGCCATTAAACTTCCTTTTATGTGTTCCATGAATACGCAGGAGAAAGATGACTTTCTCCATGAGTTGTCTGAAAGTGAGGGCCTGACAGAGTAAATGGTATATATGGCTTCTTTTGCGATGACATTTCTTCATCACAATGATAACAAGGTTCAAATAAACACTCACTTTTCTTTTTTGAGTGGACTCATACCCCCTGAATACACAGAATTCAATTTCTTCGTAGGCCACAGATCAGAAGCACCAAAAGAAAAAAAAAGGGGGGGGGGTCCGTCCTCCTTTATTGAGACAAATGCCTTGATAATGTGTTTTCACCACCTGAATGAAAACTTTTGTAAAGAAAGCCGATGGTATCATTCTGGTGTTATTCAGCTTGACTGGCTAGTTTACCTTAGATTTACACTGATCATATTTTTAAACACTTTCACTCAAAACATAGCTGTCTTAGTCCATCTGGACTGTTATAACAGAAATACCATAAACTGGGTAGCTTATAAACAATAAAAATTTATTCCTCACAGTCCTAGAGGCTGGGAAGTCCAAGATCAGGGTGTAGCATTGTCAGACTCTGGGGAAAGTTATCTCCCAAGCTACATATTCTGATCATCTGGGTCCTCATAAGGTGGAAAGGTATAAGGGATTTCTCTGAGGCCTCCTTTAGAAGAGCACTAATCCCATTCATAAGGGTCTTTCTTCATGACCAAATCATCTCCTAAAGCTCCCATCTCCTGATATCATCACCTTAGGCATTAGATTTTCAACATGTGAATTGGCGGGGAGGGGTACATAAACATTCAACCCATAGTAATAGTTATTCCTAATTACTAAATTCTATTTCTAGATCACAACTGCTGCTTACAAATATGACATAGTGAGATTACAGACAGTGGTTCAATTTTATGCCATCTTTTAAATACCACACTGTCTTATTTTTTTATTTTTATTTTTTTTAAGAGACAGACAGCGACAGAATGTGAGCAGAGGATAGGCAGAGAGAGAGGGAGACACAGGATTTGAAGCAGGCTCCAGGTTCTGAGCTGTCAGCACAGAGCCCCACAAAGGGCTTGAACTGAAGAACCGTGAGATCATGACCTGAACCAAAGTCTGACGCTTAACCGAGCCACTGATGCACCCCAAATACCACACTGTCTTAACAACTAAGTCTTAACAACTAAGCATTACAAGGGGGCAAAAGTGGCAGGAGTTACCGTGTATATGGGTTATGTACAAAGCAGAGCTGAGAAAAGCTTTTGTATCTTTTTCAAGAGTCATGTGGTTTTGATATATGGGTACTTTCAGTCAAGAAGAAATTGTACTCCTGAAATAAGTTCCAGTCGCAAGGAGTAAAATCACCACATGCTGCAAAAACACTTTTCGCATGGCTTCTACTAAACTTCAGCCATGCAAAGTGAGGTTTGAGTACTAATGACACTCGTACTAACTGCTGGGTACCAGTCGATGAAGGTGCAGTATTGAAACTGAGAGTTAAGGTTTAAAATTTGAACAGCAATTTGACAGAGCAATTTTATATCTGTTGAAATGAAGAGTAAAACAAAAACAAAAACAAAACTGAGCTCACATTTGGTAAGTCTTCTTAAATGTTCATTTGCCTGGCAATTCATTTGTATTACAGAAGTATTGATATTTGAAGGGTTGGAAATTTAAAAATTAAAAACTGGTCCTTCACTACAGGTAGTTTGAAAAGCATTTAAATAGATGATTTAAGTGGTTGTGTGAGTAAAAAGAAAATCTGAGTGTAGCCCTCAATGTTCCTAAAATGAGGGAGTCAAGAAAATGAGATTTCAAATGAAAAAGTTAAGCTTTATGATAATTAGGAACCCAATAAACTTGCTTAACATTAGCATCCTCACTGTTCTCAAAATATTTACTTTAAACACGACCAGAAAGCTAGATGTAAAATCTGCTTTTTCTAATAAAAAACATCAAAGTTAGGAATAAAAAATCCTGTGTAGCTTAAATATTACCTTAAAATTAATATTATATCTACCCATCTTTCATTTTGGGAAGTCAAACCTAAAATATAATAATATGAAATCTACCTGCCATATGTAAAAATATTTACATTTAACATTTTTTTTTTTAATGTTTAGTTTTGAAAGACTGAGAGAAACAGAGCATGATCAGGGGAGAGGCACAGAGAGCGGGAGACACAGAATCCAAAGCAGGCTCCAGGCTCCAAGCTGTCAGCAGAAAGCCCTATACGGGGCTTGAACTCAAGCACCATGAGATTATGACCTGAGCTGAAGTCCGACGCTTAACTGACCAAGCCTACGAAGCCACCCAAGCGCCCCTTGCATTAATATTTCTAAAAGAACCTTACATAAACTAAAACACCAAATAAGGCTTTAAACTTAGGTTTTCTAGTATTCAAAAGGAAAACCAGAGACAATGAGCCAGATAACTTCTTGCAATGTATATTTTACAACTCCATTACTCAGGAAGAGAGAAATGATTTCTTAATGAACATTTTTTTCATCAGGTATACTTTGAGTGCTTACTGTAACTCATATCTTTGAAACAAACAAGCAAAAAAGAATCAAGTCATTGTCATAAACTTGGACCTGAATGACTTTTTTTTTTTTTTTTTTTTTT